TGTCCGGACTTCGACCGCCGTACTCGCCAAGGGGAGCGGAGTTTTGACTTGGAATTTTTGCCCGCTGCCTACACCACACACACTTGAGCAGGCGTTTTCTCGCCTGCTCTGTAAGCTCGTGACCTCTCGTTTCGTTCAAAATGCGTTCCAGAGGACGGGCTTCAAGATGTGATAGGATTCAGCCCTGTGGGATGCCTCATTGGGCCGCTAGGACCTCGCCAATTCGGAGTCATTTTGCAATTTTTTCAAGGCCACACAATCGAGAGCGCTGTTTCTCTCGCTTGCCTTGATAGCTGGAAGCCTGCTAATCAATATCCAGACCAATTAGACGATGGGCTACAAGATGCCGCACGATTCAGGGAGCAACAGTGCGCTGGTGGCCGGACCCACTTGTAGGTAAAACAATCAACAGTCCAATCGAAGCGCACCAGTTTTCTCGCTTGCCTTGATAGCAAGAGGCCTGGCAATAATTTTCCAGACCAATTAGACGATGGGCTACAAGATGCCACACGTCTCTGGCCGCTACGGTGCGGTGTCAACCTCACAACTTCAAGCATAAAAATCCATCGACCAATTAAAGCGCACCAGTTTTCTCGCTTGCCTTGATAGCAAGAGGCCTGGCAATAATTTTCCAGACCAATCAGACCATGGGCTACAAGATGCCGCACGACTCAGCGCAATTGTTCGTCTCAACAGTAACCTCGGGAGATGTGTACGGAGATGGCTTGTTTTCGCGGACATCGCGACCTCCCGCGGACATTGCGATTATCCGCGGACATCGCGGCCGGCGACTCATCCCCTACTGTCCGCGGCTGTCGCGGATGCTGAGGGGATGCAACGAAAACGACTAACGAATTGCACGAGTAACACTCGTAAAAAGCGTTTAACTAGTTTAACGCGTTTAATCAGTGTTGCCACAGGTGGTTTGTGGTCATTTTACTCCTTTAACTCGTTATTTACTCGTTTTACTCGGTATTTACGCGTTTTTTACTCGTTCCACGCGGTTTTTACTCGTTTCACACGTTCTCTACTCGTTTCACGCGTTTGCTACTCGTTTCACACATGTTCTTTGAGTGGGCCACCGTTCAACGAGTGGGCAGGTCGTTAAACGAGTTTAATCAGTGTTTTACTAGTTAAACGAGTTAAACGCGTCCCCTGAGGGGATGCAACCGAAACGAGTAAAACTAATTGCACGAGTAACACTAGTGGCCACTCATAGAACGAACACATGAAATTCGTTGATGGATTTAGGAAAACTCACCAGCCTTCAAAGCTCCCAGGGTAGGAGTGGTGCCAATCGCTTTGCCAGGGGATGCAACGACAACGCGTAAAATTAGTGGAACTCCAAAAACACGTTCCACGAGCCACAGGGAAGCCAATGATAGATTCAGGAAAACTCACTTGCTTTGAAAGCTCCATGGATGGCAACAGTGCCGAGCGCTGTGCCAGGCACTGAACAGAGTGAGGACTGTATGACTAGCTGTTGCTGTTTACACCGTGGCCACGAGTAAAGAACTAGTTCTACTGGTTTTCGTTGCATCCCCTAAGTAGTGCCACGAATTTTACGCGTTGTCGTTGCATCCCCTGAGATTCCAGTTGTGAGACGAACAACGTTGTCCTGAGTCGTGCTGCATCTTGTAGCCCATCGCATAGCGTATCGTAGCAGCCAGAGTCGTGCGGCATCTTGTAGCCCATGGTCTAATTGGTCTGGAAAAATATTGCCAGGCCTCTAGCTATCAAGGCAAGCGAAAAATCTGGTGCGCTTTAATTGGTCGAGTGCGCTTTAGTTGGTAGTGATTTTTATGCTTGAAGTTGTGAGGTTGACACCGCATCGTAGCGGCCTGAGTCGTGTGGCATCTTGTAGCCCATCGTCTAATTGGTCTGGATATTGATTAGC